AATCAACCCACCAAGCAACATCATCATCATGCACATAAAATGCCTCAAAAATTATAAAAACATAATTCTGAACATAATTAAAATCCTATACCAAATCAGAATTCTGATTTTGTTGCTTTTCTGGATCCTTAGACCCACTTAGACCGACATCTTCATTCACTTTACAAACACGACAATCCTTCTTGAAGTGAACATGTTTGTTACAGTTCCAACATTCCAGTTTTAACTTTTTGTTGTAAGATTTATCATCTTTTCATTCGTACTTCCTTTTTCCTTTAGACTTCTTTAAATTCTTTGATCCATCACCTTCCACCATATTCACAAAAGAAGATCCAACTTGGTTCTTGCCTTTAGGATTATTGTCAAGTTCTTGAGTCCTCAAAGAATCTTCAATCCTTAAGCGGCTTCCAAGTAAACCAAAGTTAACTCTTTTTTTATGTTTTAGAGTATGTTTAAACTCTTTCCAGGAAGGAGGCAGTTTTTTCAATGATGACAACCACAAGAATGCCTTCATCCATTTTTAGATTATGTTGGACAAACTGTCCCAGAATCCTTAATAATTCAGGGAATTGTTCCATGAGAAGCCTGGTATCAACCATCTTGTATCATGAAATTATTGATCAAAATCTTCTTACTAGAAGCATCTATTGCCATGTACTTGGATTCTAGTGAATCCCATGGTTCCTTTGCAGATTCAACATTTTGATAAACAACAAATGAAGAGTCAGACATCCATTTAGGATGTGGCCATGACATATGTAATCATCATTCACCCACTTCGATATCCTCCTAGTTTCCTCCAAGTGTTAATCTTCAGCGTATTCAGGCATGGGGGTACTCAGAACATATACCACTTTCAGAATAATAAGGAGGAAATGGATTTTCTTTTTCCATCTATGAAAATGTTTCCTTCAAATTTGACTAGCTTATCAAACTTATTTGTCATGTCCTTTACAGATTCTCCATTCGCCATTTTCCCAACCAGGGGATCTATCCCTTGGACCCCACCAGGGGTTGCCATCCTTTGGACCCTGCTGCCAAGGGCGTTGCACCGGACCTCCGCTTTTCAAGGGCTTCACCCCTAAATGATAGTGTACTTTGACTAGAAATAAACTCAAACATGTGTGCACTCTGCACCACCCTTACTTGTTTGATATTTGTCAAGATTGCATTGGTCAACAAATTAATCTCAATACACTTAAATAACATTGATATCATAAATCACCAACAAAGTTGGGATAATTTTTTTTTATTAATGGTTAATCAATGAATAGCTAACAATTAAGTAGAGGGGCAATTTATGTAATAGTTCTTATAAGTTTGTATTATGGTATTGTTACCATCATTGATCAAACTTGGAGGCTAAGAAAGGATCCTAGGGTAGGTATGTAAGACCGACCAAGGCTTTTATTCCTTAACCCTAATTTTTTCCATCCCTCCCTCTCATCTCTCCACTTCGACAAGACCTATAATCAACCCAAAAGGATTTTTTGTGTTCTTTCTTGTGCACCAAGAATCAAGGAAATTGTTTGCTTGAAGACAAGGGGTGTGATTCCATTAGAGGGTCTCTATTTTAGGTTCTTGATCTTCTTGACTTCTCATACAGGTAATATTTTATCCTTCTTGTAGATAGTTTCCGGCTATTCATTGATAAACAATGGTCCCTGGTTCAATCATGATGATTATGTAATTATACTTTGCTACCTACGTATTTGTTTATAAATTGTTTTATGCATAATTATCCAATAATTGGCGAGTTCCATGTGATGAAATTTTAAGGATGGAAAGTACCTTATGTATTTACCAACCAAAATATCTTATATTTAACTTGGTTCGAATATCAATTATATTTTTAGATGTAAATTATATGAATAACCTGAAAACCTGAAATATACTCGAACAACAAACCTACATGGGTTGATAACCTAGATAAAACAACGTAGGATGACAATATGGGCTTATAACTAATAACATACATATACTAACATTATTAATAAACTAGACAAATAAGTACATTACAAGGAGGCTATACTAATAATAGGGTTGTGAAGTCAGCTGGCCTAATTTATCATCGTTCTCATGAAACTATCATCAATTTGTATTTTTCATCATAAATTTAAAACTAATATTTAAAATTGAAAAGTATGTTCTTAAAACAAATTGTTTTTTTTAGTATAACATGATTTTATTAAGTTAGCAAGGAGCTAAACAAGCCAAAACTACATCAAAGTAAGTGCAAATATTGGGGTTTTAAGTCACCCAACCTAATGCACTTTGTTTTTCCTACTGTTATTGCTAACCTAGAAAAACGTATGAGTAACAATTCAATCAAACAAATACAAACTTTTAAGGCATGACTTTACAAAACAGACAAACATTTCTAAACAACCAAATTCTCTACCAAAAAGTGTAAAAAGTAGGTTAAGAATACTTCCTAAGCAATCTAGCGCAAAAAGAAAACCAACATAACCAAGCCTCATAAGACACTATCATCGACATAAAAATATCATTTCCTTGCATGCTCAATCGAAGCCACCATGGATATGGAACAAGAAAAGAACAAGTGTCTAATAAATTCCAACCCCACACTACAAAATGGGCAAAAGATCGAGGGAAGATTTAGTCTTATACTAAGAAGGTTGTCTCTAGTAAGAAGCTTATTCAAAGCCAAATGTCAGGCCATAATATTCACTTTAATAAGAACTAAATGACTATCTAGTAGGGTTAGGATTGGTAATCAACGAATGTTTATCAATAAAAGATCTCATCGAAGAAACATCATACTCACCCGAACCCACCATATTCTAAACCCAATGATCTCGTTGGCCATCTAAAATCAGTCTATTAACAAATGATTATTAGTTGTTAATAGACTAAGCATGAAAGATAAACCTAAATGTAGTGGTTGGTTATGGAATGCAATACAAATATATGATATTGGTCTACTCAGGTTTTCAATTGAAAACGAGGTTGATCTAAGGAATGGCCATAATCATATGAATTATATTGCCCTAATATTACATGTGTATGTTTTTTCTTATACGATGAAATCATGCATAATGTTGTATTTTAAAATCTTACCCTTTTCATAATCATGATATTTGAACATTGGTCAAATAAGTCTAAGGTGTACATAACATATACCAATAAGATTCAATATCATCAAAACCAAGGTTGTAAAAATTATTAGGCGGAAGCTAATCAGATGACTAAGGTAAAAAGCCTAAACGGCTAGGCATAGATTAATCGATGACCCTAAATTGTAAAAGAATGTATTTTATATTTCAAAAAAAATTGTATTACCACATAGGAAAGTCTGAGTCGTTTTATTCTCGGATATACATCAAAGATTATACAAATAGGTAAAGTTGAAACAACTAGCAAATTTTGATTTATTTTAAGCTTGAATACACATGAATAAGAGATTATCATAATGTAAGAGATCAAACACCAACTTCACATTCTATTCAAATGTTGATTCATTTCAATCTTTTGCAAAAATGAATTTATTAGAGATTAAGAAATCGAAGATAAAAAGACAGGTGCGAGAAATCAAGGATAGAAAGACAATTGCAGAATCAGATTCATAAATCAAATATATACATTACTTCAAGTACATATGGGGAGAGATAGAAAGAAAAGAGTGTGAGACTGCAAGAAAAAGAGTCGGAGAGATTAATAAAAAATAGGTGTGAGAGGGAAGAGATAAAAGAGAAACATTGATCAGTGTCAGCATGATGGCTAACATCAACGTAAAGGTCAACGTCGACGTGATGAGAGACGGAGAAACATAGTCGTTGGCATCATGAGAACCAAAGAGATGTGAAACTAAAATTAGTGCACTTAGTTTACTATTCATGTAATTTATTTTCTTTAATTTTAATTTTTTGATAATTTTGACCATTTTCATTTTTTAACTAATTTTGACCGCTTAGCCCGATTAATGATTGGCTTTCACCAAGTTTGATCGGGCCTGCCTAATACAACATATTATCACTATTCATGGAAGGATGGAGACCACCAGACGTCTAGACACCGATTAAGAGAACGTCTATACCGAATTTAATACACCAATCAAAAGAACACATCGTATATTTATAAGACAATAAATTCTTGTTACAATTAATATTGTTCAAGTTAAAATTAAATACGTTGGTCATGGCGATCAATCTTGGGTTTGTATCCTAAAATTTAATAAAGAATAATAATTTTATTATATAATGTAATGACAAATAATAGGAAATCCTTTTTTAGGGTATTGATATGATTCAAAGTGCTTATTTGTCAACTAATTGATGTATCTAACGGCTAAGATTCGAATATTCTACTCAAGTAAATAATTATGTAGGCGACTTGTACGTATATCAACACGTAGTCATGTAATATTATTTACTCAATGTTTCATTAAATTAATAAATTGTGTTAGATTTTGATAAGAAATGCAGAGATATTTGACTTTCAACTGGTATCAACAACGAATCAAAGAGCATATTCGGTTTGTTACAATACTAATGTTTTATTTTAATAAACTAGATAAATATATTATATTATTATTATATACTCCTTCCGTCCCAAAATTATTGTCCACATTTGACTTTTGAAGTCTTTCCATGTCAACTTTGAACATAAATAACTTTATTTGTGCTATATAACTTTTGATGAAACTTATAACAACGAAAATACATCTAAAAAACAATCTATTTATATATCTTGCATAAAAAATTATATAACAAAAAAAAATTATTTAAGGTCAAAGTTAAACAAAAAAGACTTAAAAAATCAAACGTGGACAATAATTTTGGGACGAAGGGAGTATTAAACTGAAAAAACGTTCAATCATATGGTTATACCTCAATAATCATATCATTTAAAATCGTGAAACGGCAGACGTCAACATATTCTAAGAAAACTATATTTTGTTATTTTTTATTTTATATGAAAAAAGAAAAGTAATAAACTATAAGGTTGAGCCTTTCAACGGTTGTCGCGCTCAACGGGACCATAATACATAGTTTGTTTCGCACAACACATTCACAAATCCAAGTTCACAACCATTGCCGATTGGTCAAACAATGGCGGAGAACGACATCGAATACTTAGGCTCCGGCGTCCCGGCGCCACCTCCGATCAACATAATCAACTTTGAAAACTATAGAACCAGCAACGACGGCGGCTGGAGTGGCGGCAGTCATAACGAGATAGAGATAGTGGAAGAAGATGAGGAGGAGGAGGAGGATGTTGGTGGTGGTCGATTTGGAGGATTCAGAGTAATGCCGTCGATTACAGAAGAATACGACAGTAGCAACCCGAGTGATTTGTTTTCTTATGATATCAATCGGAATATGAACGACGTCGTATATGTGGTGACTTGGAGAGGAACTGAGGAAATGTCGTCGGCAAGCATGGATGCGCTGCTTTGGACTCTCGGCAACAATCGTCATGACGAGTCCACCATTGTCTATCTGGTCTACGTCTTCCCTGAGATCCGCTTCCTTCCTACTCCTCGTAAGCACACAATCATATTACTGTTTACTGAATTTTGTTTGCCAGTCGATCGTCATCTCCGTTTCAAATCCTTCAAAACAATTGATGATAAGTATCATTTCGATACTCATGAACATACATATAATCTGTTTCTCACAAGTTTATGTATGTTACGAGTATTAAAAAAACATGTTTTAAGAAAGTCAAATTAAAATTATAGCTCCATAGATCTAACACCTTATTGTCATCGATCGATCTAAAAGTAGGTTAGGTTAAAGGAAAACCAATTCTCATGTTCATACACGTTTTCAACAAACTGTTGACTGTGATGACAAACCATTTAATAAAATAGGTGGTTAGGTGAATCAGTACAGTAGGAATACAAGTGTTTGGTGATACACCTTGATGAACTAATTTACGCTAATTTAAATTTTGAGCTCCAAAACTCCATGACCCCTGTTTTTGCTCTCTGGATTCACTTCTATGAACGTTTTTAGTTTGAGACATAGATGTTTTTTTAACCATAATAATGAAGTTATTTAGATGTCACAAATACTGTTTTGGTGTGTCAATGGGACGAAAATTGCACAAAAATGGACTTGTTCTCGACCAAGTTTGTACAAAATTAAGACATGGATGTTTTTCCCTCTTTCTCCTTTGATCTCATCAATGAAAATAGTCCTAAGAAACTCAACTAGTCCAGTGTAACAAATGCAGCCTAAACACTAAACGGTTTAAACCAAGATTTTAAAAATTGATGTCAAATGTACAGTGGGAAGGTTACCAATAAGTCAGGCAAACCCAGACCAGAAGGAAAACTTCCTAAATCAAGAAAGAAGGAAGAGAAGTGAATACCTCCAAAAGTTTCTTTCTTTATGCTCTTCTTCAAAGGTCCAAGTTGAAACTGTGCTTATCGAGAGTGACATGGAGGCAAAAGCCATACTTGACCTCATTCCAATTCTAAACATAAGAAAGCTCGTGTTGGGTGCCACCAAATCTACCCTAAGGTGCACAACCCCTCCAACCCACCTTCTTATGTTTTTATTATATGTATTTATTTATTATATTTAGTAATCCTTTTGATGTCCCAATAATAATATATAGGAAACTCAAGAGTAGCAACAAGAAAGGAGGTGGAGGTACTATTGACCAAATACTACATAATGCCCCAGAGTTTTGTGATGTTAAAATCATATGTGAAGGAAAGGAGGTCTCATTGCAAGACCAGTTATCAACTGAGCCATCGTCCCCATCATCCTCAACTGTTCCATCTCCACGTGGAGACACTACTGTCAGCACCCTAAAACCGGTGCCAGTTGACCACGGCTATACCATTGGCTTTGTCAATTGCAGCTGCTTCAAGCTCTAAAATCACAGGACACAACACCAGACTGTTGTGTTTTGGCATCATACCTAAAACAGTCTCTTCTTTTCTTTTCAAAACACGTAAATACCCACCTCATCTTTATCATCATAAAAGTTAGCCTACAAAGTAGTTCAATCCAGTTCCATGTAACTCCTGTTATGTTGTTGAAGAGGTTGAAGTATGTTTAAGTAAAAACATTCATATGTTATGTAGATTTAAATTAAAAGTTTGTGACAAAAGAAAAACGGATTGTTATTGGTAGCACACAACTTATAGGTTACACGGGCTCACAATTCTCACTTTCTATCCACAATATTATATATATCCAAGAGGTTCTTATATTACAGATGCAATAAATAAAGTTTTAGTTCATTATATTATATGTTGTATAGGCATAATGGAAATGGATCATTATCTTAATGAATTCACTCCCTATAACTTCACAATGACAAGATGCAACGCAATAACAAGACAACAATTACCACTCACAAAGTGTCATGTAACCGATCGAAAAAAAAAATACAACCATCCTTATCCACCCCAACCGATACACATACACAAACAAACTGTAAAATCCATAGGGGTATTTAGTCCGATCACTAGAAGAAATCAAACTCCAAGTAATTATCTGAACCCGAACCCGCACCCACACCTGCACCTTTTTGGTTAGGAGCAGCCACTGGGGGTACATTAGTCTTTTCACTTGTGGAAGCAACCGGAGCGGTTGCCGAGAACCGTTCAAACTCAACCGGCTTCGGTACATCTGGCGGTGTAGCACACCGGATCAAAGCCCAGTTAACACCTTCAAAGAACGGGTGTTGTTTGATTTCCGTAGCACCTCTTTTATACGCCAAACGATGTTGAGGCTCTTTCACAAGCAAACCCCGGATGAGATCCCGGGCAGAAAAACTGACCACGGGCGATTCGGGAAACCTCAGAGGCTGCCCGACAACGTTAAACAAAGTTGCCCGATTGCCTGAACCTTTAAACGGGGTTCTACCGAATAACAACTCATACAAAAAGATCCCGAAAGTCCACCAATCTACAGCGCTTCCATGGCCTTCGCCTTTAATAATTTCCGGGGCTAAATACTCATGGGTCCCCACGAATGACATGGATCGGGCGCTTGTGGGCTCCGCCATGAGCTCGGGTAATGGGCTAACTTGGTTGCCTATTTCGTTTTTGATTTTGTTTTTTCGTTCTTTTTTGGATTTGCTTGAGAAGAAGCGAGGGGAGAAGCAAGAGGTGGGGACCACACACGAGGGTTGAATACAAGATGGCTCGATGCAAGATGGTTGGACACAGTATACGGTGGACCTACGGAGTGGCTCGTTGTCCATAGATGAGGATTTTACTAAAGTCGGGCTCACAGTGCACCGAAGGGAAAGGTCAAAATCGGAAAGCATTATGTGTCCGTCTTCTCTCACGAGGACATTTTCGGGTTTTAGGTCTCGGTAAACGATCCCGAGCATGTGGAGATATTCCATGGCTAATAGCACTTCCGCTACATAAAATCTACAAAACAATAAATATTTGAGAAAATGATGGAAATGGAATCGAGGGCAAATTTGTAAATGGTTAGGTTTAAATAGAAGAAATAGCAACGTACTTTGATTGATTTGAAAAAAGTAGCTAATTATAGTAATGTTATCCATGTACAAATAAATGAGGATATTTAACACCTTACCTTTCTAGACAGTGGAAAAAGGACATTATTTTCTAATTAAGGAAAAAATTTAAGAGTTGGGTGGTCTAGATATAAAAGCCTTGATGCCAAAAATGATGCAGACATTTAATCTTTCTACACCAATAATCCAACATTTATAGAAAGAAAGTTTCATCTTGATCTTAAACCACAGACAGTCTTCATGTGATAAAAACAGTACAAAGATTAAAAAAATCCAATGTTTCCTTGTATCCCAAAAGATTATGATAAAAAGAGCTGATGCAAAAATAGCAACATGCTTTCAGTTATTTGTGTATTGTAACATGATTTAGGAAGAAAATGAAAGTTGGATGGTATAATAAATGAATTAGTGAAAGTAAGTTGCTATTTCTTGCATTTAATCCATAAATGAAAATATAACAAGATGGATAAGAAAGAAAGATGCTTACTTGACAGCTTGCTCGGTGAAGTGTTTCCCGGGTTGTCTCTGCCTAAGGGTATGCAAGTCTCCTCCAGGACAAAACTCCATAACCAAACATGAGAACTTATCAGTCTCAAAATGAGTGTATAGAGTAGGAAGAAACGGATGATCCAAAGATTGCAGAATCTCTCTTTCTGTTTGAGCTCGAAGAAGCTTCTTGCGACTTGCTAAAGAGGCTTTATCCATCACTTTCATGGCAAAATATGCTTTAGTCCCAGTCAACTCAGCCAAGTAAACACTCCCAATATCACCACATCCTAATCTTTTCAACAATCTGAAATGAGTTAAACCCAAAGCCCCATCTCTTGCTCGCACCACTTGAATGGCTTCCCACCTCATATCATTTGATTTGTGTGGCTTGTTGATACTGCTACTGAAACTACTACAACTGCTCTCATCACTCACATTGCTGCTTGTACTTCCTCTACACATACTACTCTTCCCACTCTCCACAAGAGCACTCCCGCTAGTCTTCCCCAAACTGCTGTTTCCATCACTTGCTTTATCTGAAACAGAGCTGTTCTTTACGCTTCCTTTCTCTGCTACTTTCTTTTCTTGATCCATGGAAACATCTGGGACCTTAGCAGTTTCTGATTGAGTAATCAATAGTTTGGAAGCTAGGTTAGCTTCCAAATCATCTCCAAGTACATGCTTTGTGGTGATTTGATCCAAAGATGGTGGCATAGCGCGAGTTTTTGAGGCCATCTGGTGATAATCAGGATCAACAGCTTCTCATGGTCGTAAAGGTTTCCATCAATAGAGTCCAACTCAAGTTATTTTCAGCTCTGTGAACAAATTATAAACATATTCAAGTCAACAAAAGCGATTGGGGCTCACAGTAAAGCGTATTTGACTAAAAAGGGAAAGGAAGACTTGGATCGAACGCAATAGACGGACATGGAAGATTCTAGACGAAGCGAATCCAGTCGCAAATTATCACAAACGGTAATCAAAACCTGATCCAGGAGCTAGATCTTAAACTTAGCAAAACCGTAAGAAGGTCGAAGATCAATCATGCAACTCGATACTCAAATTTTTTTGAAATAAATCGATTTAAATCCTGGAAAACGAAGAGAATATTGCTCAGATTGCAAGGACCACCGGCGAAAAGTTGAACAAGTAGTCAATCAAATCAGGAAATTGACAAATGCAGTTGTTAATAGCATCAAATTAGGTTTAACTTGATGAATTAGAAAAAGCTAACCCGATACAACATAGATCCAACAAAATCTAGAAAAAAAAAAAAAAAATACAGGAAAGCAAATCTACTGAAGCCATTAAAGAAAAACTAAGAAAGAAAGAGGAAAAACCTAAAGTTGAAAGAATCAGGTCCACAAGTTCATTGCTTTGATTTGGGAGCAAAAAGGAAGGAGCAAGTTCTCTTGTTCATGGCATGCTGATGATACCTGTGAAAAGATCGAAGAGAGAGAGAGAGAGAGAGAGAGAGAGAGGGAGAATGGGGAAAGTGATGCTTGAGAGTAATAAAATTTGACTGGGCCTCGTCTTCAAGACTATGAATGAAGCAAAAAAGCTATTTTTATTTTGATTTTTTTTTTTATTTTCATTTAAAAAATCAATCAATAATTTAAATTGTTTTTGAGTCCCGAAACAGAAAGGTCCGAACTACGAATCAACATGCTGGACTCTTTCACTCTCGCCTGTCTGCCAAGCCATCAATACAACACAAGCACTCCTCCATGGTAAATTACCAATTTACCCTCCAACCTGTCTCCTTCACTACACTTCCACTTCACCTTTTGCTCTCCCAATCATATACTTATCTTTACTGTAGAAAATAATAATTAAAATATAAAAAAACTCCTAACTTTATGGGAGTCAAACTTCAATTTTTACACACCTTTGACTCCACACACTACATAGAAAAGATTGATTGATACATGATGCATGCCCATTCAATCATCCTTCTCCACAGAATCTCTCCAATCTTATCTTGAAAATTAATCTTATTTCTTGAATATATTTATAGTGTCTATTAAACATAATTTTTCTAATCGGAACATTTGAAATAAACAGTTAAAATTGTCTAGATACTTTTTCGATATGTTTCTTTTTTGACATATTTGTGAGCCCTAAACATGCGAGTGTTTGGATATTGTTTATAAGATAGCTAGAGTGACGATAACTGTGTTGGGACTTAACAACATGAGACAGTGCAGACTTGACTTGAGCACTTGGTGGACAGAGGGGAGTAAGGAGTTGTTATCGAAACCAACCATGTGTGAAGGGGGATGGTGAGGGGACCTGAAATAAATGCAATAAGAAAGAAGTATAATGAAGACATGTCCCAATTAATATTAGATCGAATTTGTCATGATACTATAACAAATTGAAATACAATTGGTCCTAATTGACTAGGATGGGGACAAATTAATTTGTGACATTAAAAAACACATGGTAGGTTTGTGAATTGAGACCAAACAACCATAACTAACTAATAGCGTCGATATGTATTAATTAAGAAACTAATTAAACCCAATTAAGATGACAAACAAACTAAACAAACAAGATTACCAAATCAATTACTATCAACTCTTATAGTGAATATCATAATCCAAATGGAAATGACCAGAAACAAATAGTGAAGTTTGGGAGATGTTTTGTTTTGTTTTGTCACCACGTTGGTTGTCCAAAGCATCTTGTTCATGTCACCATCGTCTCAAGTTGTCATGACTTAACAATAATTTAAGAGTTGTGTGTGTGTGTGTGGACCTTCTTCCCCTCTCTCAATAGACTTTGCCTACTTAAATATTAAATGGTCCACTGGTTGCATTCATGTATGTCTTCTACTTAAGTTGACCAATAAATTTCATTTCTTTTAGTAATTGATAAGAGTTTTTTACTGTTAGTACGTAGTTCAGTGAATATGACACATCGAGATTGGATTCAATTGAATATTAATTGATTAAATTATTAAACTAGGAAAACAAAAGGTTGGAGGGCAGCTAGGCCATCGGTATCTTGAAGCCTGAAAGAAAGGTTGGCAATCTTTGTTTATTATACGT